AACAATAGGAAAAAAAAAAAAAAAAAAAAAACCGAAACAGAACTATGTTATGCACGAAAATAAACTGAACAACTTTTGCCTCAGAGTCACATCGAAATTCTTTACCAATTTTAAAATAAAAATAAAAGTTTAAAAATATTATTTTTATTTTTTTGGCCCGGCCGGGCAAGTGACCCCGGGCCACTCTGGTATCCTAGAAAAAATCAAAAAAATCTGAAAACAAATTATGTTCTGCAGAGAAATAAACTGAACAACTTTTGCCTCAGGGTCAAATCGAAATCCCTTACTAACTGTTTTTTTTTTTTTTTTCGGCCCGGCCGGGCAAGTGGTCGCCTTGCTGCTTCAGCGCTTTTATTTACCTATCTTAATGAAGCACTTCATTTTGCGCTACTATTTTGCGCTACTACTGTGTTTTTTCTCCTCCCCTCTTCTATCCTTCCTGTCCCCTACTCCTCTACTCCGGTGTGCTCTTTTGCATATGCCACGCTTTGAGTCCATGACTGTCGTCGTTCTGGTGATCTCGCCAGTTTATGGAGCTATGAGTCGGCAGTAATGTGCCCTTGGTCGTTTCGACTCTCTTTCTGCTCACTCTGGTAGCCTAGTCCCCAAATTCATTTTCAGTGTTTGGGGGCTAAACCTATGGACTGAAAAGTGGGGGTCCATGTTAACCATATGCAGTCGAAGGTGGTGGAATCCCTCTACGGATGACGGATTGACACGCGTCCATATTAAAAAAAAAAACTGATGCCAAACTGCTACTATGCTTTGATCGATTTTCAATAACGCATTCAAGATCATGGCGGATGGCGAGTGGTGCAACTAGGCCCTTGTTCATTTTCTCAGAATATTTTTTTTTTTTGTAACTGTGATGTATGGAGTCTATGGACACATGTGGTCCAGGAGTAATCATGATTTGCAAACACTTTCTTTTTTTTCTTCAATGTGCAAAGTGTGAAAAGTGGGTGCTAACAGGAGGAGTGGGATTGAGGATTGGTTTCATAGTGTTCACATGTGGTCCAGGAGTAGTCATTCGGGACGTCCGCCAGGAGCCCTTCATGTTCTGTCTCAGTTTTTTTTCCGAAGAAGGCTCGATTTGCTCTTATCCTGGTTCCTGCTCTTCCCCCCC